TTCAAGGAAACAGCGGCTCCGGTCTAGAAACCAGAAATTAATGGCCATGGGGATTCGTTGCGCTGACCACGCGACACCCTCTATCCACTAAAGTTCGCACTAACTTCGACAAAAAGCGGCGGTCGCTCGGTCGTATAGTTCGCTTGCGGACTAAAACCACTGAGATCGTTTATGTTTGATTATTACATACGCAGGTTATCCTTCAAAACTTGATAAGCTCTGTTTACTCAGCCGGTCAAGGAATTCACCGCCTTTATGGAACTCAAAGTTCATTATCATGTTCACAAAGGCGCTGTAAGAAACTCTAACCTAGCTACTTATTCACGCATTTACGCCCAGCTCTTGTAAGTACTCTCTCTGCTTGGGGGTGTTCAGTGAAAATGTTATATGTATTTCATGTTTCCCATGTGTTCTTCAGATCCCATTCATCTCATTATCCGTGATTTATTTATCCCGAAAATATTAGATAATTGCAAATTACGAAGTTCCTCATACAATTTTCTTAATCCTCCAATTACTTCCTTCTCGGGTTCTAGTATTCCCCTCCGCTTTATGATCTCAAGCACTTCCTAATTACGTTTTTCCCTTAGAGTAAGCGATTAAGATTCACAGTCATATAATTACTGAAATAAAACAATTTTATGCTTTAGGTTTCATAGAAACACAGGCAGACGAAAGATTCTAAAGTTGGATGATACTAAGCATTCCCCACATTTAATGTAGACCTACAAGCCTACCGCTTAAATGCAAGTAACTGAAGACAAAAAGATGCCCAGTAGCTATACAAAATAATTCGTAAGACGTTCTGCTGCATGCAGTAATGTAATTTAAACGACTTATAAACAAAACGGGACTTTACAATTCTTACGGACATGACAATTGGTTACAGCTTGAAAAGGAGAACCTACAGCCGTTAGTTTATCCGTGTTACGAGCCGAGTAAGCGGCCGACAGACTGTAGTTACGTGTCCCAACAAAACTGAAGCGAACATTTATAATAAAATGAAAGTAAAGTAAAGTAAAGTAAAGTAAAGTAAAGGTATCCCTGTAACAGGCCGTGGAGGCCCATAGGGGTGTGAGATGTTGAGGCTTCCACATTTTCTAGACAATCGACTCACGGATGGCGGTAAGATTGTCAGCCTTACGCACCGGCAGCGCTTTACTCCCCAGGAAAATTATTTAATTAATTCCTGGTACTCATTTCTGTTACAGGCTGAGTGAACCCCAGGGCCATAGTGCGGCTGGAAGGATTAGGTCAATTGAAGAAATAACAGTAAAAAGCAATTCGGCTAACAAGTTAACGGGTTGAGTTTGTCGAAAAATACCGACAGACATACGAGAAAATCATATTGGAATTTGTGCATTTTGTTACCTGCAAATTTATATACTCGTAAGTTACATACACATTATCATTACTGCTACATGAAACTATTATAATTTATTTACATTGTTTCAATTCATTTTAATTGTCATTGTGAGAAGAACCGAGGACCAAATCCTACTGGAATCAGAAAACCTGGATTTATTTTTATTTTAAAAGTGTTATTTATACATAATATAGTGTTACTATTATTATTGATATTACTATTATTGAATTATTAGCAACTCAGATTTATGTTAATTAAACTGTCCTATAGTTACACATCTGCTTTAGAGAGACTAAGATTGCACCCTCTAAGTCTGCGTAGACATCTTCTTGATGCACTCTTCTTCATTCAGGTTTATCGTGGCCCTAAATCCTGCTCCTCCCTTCTGGATAATGCTAGTCTTCGTGTTCCTACTTTCCTACCAGAAATTAATTAAATAATTTTCCTGAGAAGCAAAGCTCGGCCGGCGCGTAAGGCTGACAAACTTACCGCCATCTTTGAGCCGATTGTTTAGGCAATGTGGGACCCTCAACGTCTCACAACCCTATGGGCCTTCATGGCCTGTTACAGGGATAGCTTTACTTACTTTTATTATTACGTCGCTTCTTTGTTTGCTTACTTCTTGGCATTAATGTGTTTTTCCTCCAGTGCTTACCTTTAATTAGTCTTTGATTTTAAGTAGTGTTTGTCCATAGTGTAATTACTTGTATCTACACTGTGCTGTGTCTGTAATTGGCCTTGTAGCTTTCAACTCGGCACATAAATAACAAAGAATTGAACTGAACTGAATTGGGGGCACGCGCAAGCGTAATTGGTTGAGGGGCCAAGCTGCAACCCGGAAGGCCGCGGGTTCAAGTCCCGATGAGGTCTTTGGATTTTTTTCAATTGACCTAATCTTTTCAGCCGCACTATGGCCCTTTTCGTGGCCTCCTACGACTCGCACGATGCCCACGAACGTCCTTTGTCGCCCCCTATAAGACTTCGGTACGGACCACACATAGGAAGCACCTTCTATTATTGTAGACATGTTTGTAGACATGTTGCCTAGCACTAGGCATAGCGCGGACCACACTGAAAACACTTTTTCTGTTGTCACAATTGTTGCGTAACCTAGCAACTAAATGTAGCATGACCCACAGACATCACAGCTCCTATTGTAGCGTGGTTGCTGGAAACTGTATATTAAGTCGTCGCTTGGCAATAACCATATTCGCTTCTGCTATTATTCCGGTTTTAGACAGTGTTCACCGAGCCGTTGATAAGGAACGGCCCATATATCACAACATAATTTTAAAATTTACGAGAGTTTATAGTCTAATTTCATACGAAAGGTATTTCTGTCTTCAGTATTTCATTAAGCATTACGACCATCATGTTGTTTTACATTTTACAAAAAATTGCCTTAACAAAGGTGCATATTTTTCGAAAATCACTAATGAATGGCCCTAGAGTCTCTCTCACAACGCAAGTACGTATTTCCTGCAGGCAAATAGAAAGTAAAAAAGTTTGGGTGGTACCCAAAAACATAAATTTCATATCAGATTTCGTGAAAATCGGTGAACTGGTTCAAAATTGAAATGGGGAAGTATAAAGACATAAAATTACACACAGGCAACATGGTGGTCTCCTAAATTCTTCCCCCCCCCCTTAAGGATGGTGGGTAGGTCAATAGAAATCAAACACAAAGGATATTCGTGCAACGAAGGTTCATATACATCTCCTATCACTTATTCACTCACTCGTGGAGCTGAGTCCTTCTTGAGAAGGAGCATGTTTTGCAGCTATTCAAGAAATCCCCAACATTTTACGAACCCGAAGATTCATTACCATGTTCACATGAGCCCTCCACTGGTCCCTATCCTGAGCCAGGTCAATCCAGTCCATACCACTCCAAGATCTATTTTAATACTGTCCACCCAATATGTCTTGGTCTTCCTAGTGGTCTCTTTCCTTCTAAATTTCTCACCAATATCCTATATACATTTCTCTTAGCCGCCATTCGTGCTACATACCCTGCCCATCTCATCCTCCTTGACTTGATCATTCTAATTATATTTGGCGAAGAGTACAAGCTATGAAGGACCTCATTATGTAGCTTTATCTATACTCTCGTCACTTCATCTCTCTTCGATCCAAATATTCCCCTCAGCACCCTTTTCTCAAACACCCTCAGTCTATGGTCCTCCCTTAAGTTATGAAGCTCCTCATTATATAGTATTCTCCAACCTCCCGTCACTTCATCTCTCTTTGATCCAAATATTCTCCTCAGCACCCTTTCCTCCCTTAATGTCACAGACCAAGTTTCGCACCCATACAGAACCACTGGCAAAATTATAGTTTATATATTCTAATTCTTATGTTTTTATACAGCAGATGAGAAGATATCTCCCCTAGCAAATACTACGCGAATTAAGTAAAGTAAAAGTAAAGTTGTCCTTGTGCTTTAACTAATTAAGCACAACGCAATGAATGTGTATGGGGGAGTGCATGTATAGATCCACATTTCCTTGGCCTCGGCACTGGCTGTAGTAGAGTGGTCAGCTTCACGCCCCGGTCGCTTTACCCCCGTAACCATTGGAGAGGAGGTTGGGTGGACAGCACAGCCGGTCTGGACGATGTGGAGAAGGGAATATTCTTGACCCTACCGGGACTCGAACCTCTCAGCCGTCCAGCCCGCAGCCAGTCACTATACCGAATGAGCTATCCCGGATCCCCAAATACTATGTATAATTAATACTAATAGGGAAAGTTCGAATGGTAACTTACCTCAAGAATATTGTTGTTGGGTGGGGCCTGGTTTACGTTTACATTTTTGGTCTGCATTCTGGCATCAGCGCTGAGACATTTGCCCTGTAATGTAGAGTAAATACGTTAATTGCGTTAATTTAACGTAATATCTTTCAGTCTGTAGATGAGGACACCCGAGCTTCCAATCGGTGACGTAAGAGTTCAAATTCCTCCAAGTAAAGAATGGGAAGCCGGTCACGTTAGCCGAGCGGCCTAAGGCATGTACTGTCTTCGTTCACTTGCAAACCGGGATCGTGGGTTTGAATCCCACTCAGGGCATGGATGTTTACTTTGTGTGTGTGTGTGTGCGTTTTTCTGTGTTTGTGTACAGGTAGAGGCCTTGCGACGAGCTGATCACCCGTCCAAGGAGTCCTACCGAATGTGTAAGATCTAGAAAGACCAAAGTGAACGAAGAAATTCATGGAGGTAGGCCTAGGCCCACTGGGGCTATAGTGCTAAGGGGAAAAAAAATGGGTAAGTAATGCATGCAGGAAATTATTTGCATGGTACGGGGTCTTTATTCAAACTTTCATAGTTGTCGAGGTCGTCAAATGATTCCTGCTTTATGGTACATCATGCTACAACTTCGAGTTAGGTGGAGCCCGGTACTGGATCACATTTTGAGACAAATGTATTCAGACCATTCGAACCCCTATTTAACTTACTGAAAATTTTAGTACTATTATTCCTTCTATGCCTAAGTGTCATAATGTTATCCTCTCTTGAGTTCAGTCTCGAAAAATTCCTGGGTTATTTTTCTGCATATAGCATGGAATGGTATAATTTGAGAATAATGAATTGAAAAGGGTGTGGACAGAGGCGACCATGAAGTATTTTATTGTTCTATCCCACAATATATATGAAGTGACTGAGAAAATCTACGAAAACATCAGTAATGACAGCTGGTGACCGGACTGCTAGCACATCAGGCTTCCCGAATAAGTAGTAGTACCACCCACTCTGCCATGGCGTTTTATTTTTTATAGATTTTCAGAAGTTCGTAAAAACTTGTATTTATCTTTTGCGTGATGTATGAACCATCTTCTCTTGCGCCTTGATTAAATCATGATGTAGCATGTAGAGTGTAGACCCTTTGGTAAATACTCTCCAAACAATGCCCGCTGCTAGGCAACAAATTCACACGAAGTAACAATTGAACAGTAACAGAGGAAATGTGTTCTCTGTGCGGTCCGTGTGCAGATGAAATAAGCAGGACAATTAGCTAGTACAGTGCAGTGCGGGGAAGTAAAAAGTTGGTTGGTGAGTTAGTGAGTTAGTCAGAGAACTGCAGTTCAATCGTTGTGAGCCGTTTATGTTAGAAGCTGGTAGGTGAGGAACGGGGATACTTCGGGAACCCAGAGTAAGGGGAACATCCGCCGTTGAAAGCCCTTATCAGGCAACGACTGGTAAAGACACATACGTTTGAGGGAACTTAGTACGTGCTCTAGTAAACTGCAAAGTGTGTGAATTAGCGATAGCACGATTGTTACTTATAGTTACGATCAGTAAGTGTCCAATAAACACAATTACCAATCCAAACCCCGTCTACAGCCACACTCTATCACATGATAATATTAAAAAATAACAACGCAGAATAATAGTTTTGTGTATTCGGTTCCTGTGGGTATCTGGAGAGTAAAAGAATCTGTGGTTTGAATAAAATAATATGATCTGCTCTTAATTTTCAGCAAGAATGTAATTTCGATATCTTAGCGCCGTTCAAAAGAAGGTCTACCTTGCCACATTTTCAAAGGAATTATCAGTAGTGTTGGATCTTGGATTCACACCACAGTGACTATGAAGCGTACCGTCGTGCAGGATGAAACGCGGTGTTGGCCGATGGAAGTTCATTCCTTCAGCCCTGCATGGTGTTATATCACAGATGCTACTCTTAAATGTGACACTACGTGGTCACGGTCTTCTCAGATTTGTCAGGGAATATGAGTAAAATCATGGCAGATAGGACAGCTGGTATTTCACCGTAACTGGAACCGGCTGAATATCTAATGCGACGCATATGCTTCTCTCCACGGTCCACAGCACATTTCACAGTAGAAACGGAAACACTGCAATATATTTGATGTAAGATTTGAGGCTTTCACGGCGGTGACTATGAAGAAAGCAGTCTTCTGGGATTTGGCACCGTGTATATGTTGTTAACCGACGTTTCGGATGAACGTATCGCCTCCATCTTCAGGGTAGAAGAAAAAATATATAANCTATCTGTGGTCGTTTCCGCGTTCACTAATACTATAGAAAACGTTTTGATTCGTCATGTAGTACACAAAATTTGCATGTTAAAGCCACTTCATTCATCATTCCTCGTCTACCTTCCCGGGTCCGATTGCTGGTCCTAAACCAGGCTTTCGTGTCTCTTTCCGCAGCTTTTAAACATAGTAAATATCTCCTTATATATAAGAGCAATGCCCGCAAGGAAAGTGCATAGAATGCGACAAAATAATGACGAATGTGAGTAAAAAACTATGCGATTTTTAGTCCGCAAGCGAACTAAACCGACCGAGAGACCGCTGCTTGTCGGCGAATTTTAGTTCCAACTTTCTCTATGGTCTCGTCGTCAGAGTTCCTGGCTACAAATTCAGAGGTCCAGGTTCGATTCCCGGCTCTGCCAGATTTTTTCTGAGGAGAAGTGGGTCTGGAACCGGGTCCACTCAGACTCGTGATGATAATCGAGGAGCTATTTCAAGGAAATAGCGGCTCCGGTCTAGAAAACCGAAATTAACGACCGTGGGGATTCGTTGCGCTGACCATACGACACCCTTTATACGCTAAAGTTGTCACGAATGTGAGTAAAGGAGGAAAAAAATTTTCCGGTTCTTAACTAAGCACCACGAATCGAAAACTTATCAGGGAATATAGGTATAGCTCCGCGAATTCTAAATCTCGAAATTATGTGGAAAGGAACTGTCAGCTTCACGACCCAGCAGCTTCATATGAAGCTGGAGAGATATTGATTGTAAATGGTCGTTGAATATATAAAGGTACTCGAATTACCCCAGAATTCGCCTGAAGATTTCGAGTGAACTCATGAAACTCTCCGTTAAGGATGACAATACGCCTAACCGGGGTTCCATGGTTTGCAATTGCATTAACTTCGAAGAAAGATACTTTTTAGCATAAAGAGCTCTAACTTCATGGAGCTGAGCCCTTCTTGTGAAGCCGCCAATTGTGCAGCCACTACAGAACTTCCCAGCATTTTATGGAACCCGAAGTTTCACTACCGTGATCACAAGAGCCTTCCACTGGTCCCTATCCTATGCCAGTTCATACCACCACATCCTTATTCTCTAAGATCCATTTCAATATTGTCCAACCACCTACGTCTTTGTCTTCCTAATTATCTTTTTCCTTCTGGTTTCCTATATGCGTTCCTCTCCTCCCCTTTTCGTGCCCTGACCATCTCATCCTCCTTGACTTGATCATTCTACTTGTCGAAGGGTAAAAGCATAAAAAATCAGAAAACAAAAAGTGACGTATGGAATAAAAAGACGGCAGATAACGTTAAAGAGACTTTACTAATCTATTTTCATACGTTTTGACGCCGGGACTCAAACCGCAGTCTCTACATTCTTCCTAACTAAATATTATGGGGTCATTGAACTCTGTTGGTATCGCATTCTGAATGCTCTGTACTTCGGCAGAATTTGAGTATAGTTCTGCCATCTAGCGAGAAACACCAAAACATCCAACTCTCGGGTGAAATGTTCCAGAGACTGGAGACGTCTGGTGACCGGTACCAACGGTTCAGCAAACAACCAGATGTTCATATTCATCCTGAATTTCGTCCTAGGAAGTCCGCAGGCGGTACAGCGACGGGCTACAGGCTCGATGGTCCTCGTTCGATTCCCGGCAGTGCAAGAATTTTCTCTTCTCCACAGCGTCCAGACTAGCTCTGGGGCTCACCCAGCCTCGTATGAAGTGGGTACCGAGGGATTTTCCCCGGGGGGTTAAGTGGCAGGGGCGTGAAGCTGACCACTCACTTCAATCGAGTGCCGAGATCAAGAATGACGAATCTATACCTCCACTCCCATACACGATTTCGTGCTTAACTAATTAAGTACAGCTACAACTTTACCTTTACTTTCACTAAAAAGTCACCAATGGAACTTAATTTTATTCTTGTTCTTCCTCCTTTTCAAACCAAATATTAGACAACCAGAGCCTGTTTCCCGACACTCATCTCTTCACAGATAAAACTTCAAGCTGCTGGAAGAATTCGATTAATATTTTGCGGTTCAATATACACGTACATCCTACATAACATGAGCCTCAAAACGAATTTTATCAATCAGCAAAATAAACAGACATTTTTTAAGATAATATGCCTACTTTATCTTTGATTGCACATTTCGAATCCCATATTCTTTACAATTAGCCATCTCATAACACAATTCTCCCATATATTTATGTCTCCGAACTTGTGTTCTGTACCAAAGCAGTTTCCAGTCGCATACGTAGAACCCTCGCTCCGCAACTCCACCGCACTACGTAATTCCATTAACAATTCTTCTAAAGAATGTTCAAATTTAGACCTCTACCTCACAGGAACCACTCATCTGCCACAGCTCAGGCGAGTAGTTGCTGCCTTCCCATAGTGGCGGTCCGGATTCGATCCCAGGTTAGGTCAAGTGGGATTTGTTGTGGGCGAAGTGGCACTGGTGAAGGTTTCCTCAAAATACTTCAGTTTCATTCCACCAACTGCTTCACATTCATCAATCGTTCTACCACAGAAATTATCCATAATTAGGTGAGTCATCACGGATGGAGGAGACGGCATCCAGATAAGGAGGGTAGCTGCGAATATATTCAGTAAGCAGTTGCGGACAGCCGACAAGGAGTGGTTCTCCAGCTTGGGGGTTAGGCGTGGAACTAAAATCTCCTCGCCTTAAAAAATAAACTTGTTACTAAATCGCGCAAAGGTCCTCGGACTTGGAGGTATTCTCTGAATAAACGATCTACGCTAAGGCAAACGAATAGAAGATAAAACTGATGATATGAAGTACAGGTTCTACAAGGAACTAGAATGTGTGTTCGATAAATTCCCT